CCCTCCCTCCCTCCGTCTCCCCACCTCCTCTCTGCCCCATCCCCCACTTTCCACCCCTTGGCTCTCAGGGGTGCATCACGTGGAGCCTGGACAGGCCTCGTAGTGGACAGACAAGGCCCCGGACCCATGCGCAGCCAGGCCAGGACCACCGCCCGCTCCCTGTCCTCCCCGCCCCCCACGCAGACCCTGTGACTGCCCACCAGCCGGCCGCAGCCCGTGGGCCTGCACTGCTCACACCTGGGCGGTCAGGGCAGGTGCCTTAGTTCTCAGGGTCTGTCTCCAGCTCCCAGGGGCGCCGGGCTCTGACCTCCAGGGAGGGGAGCTTACTGCCTTTTCTGGTTGAAGGGTGCTCCCTAACTTCTTCCACCCCGGGGTGTGCAGGGCGTCCCTGAGGCCCGGAGCCCGATGGCTGCCTCACCCACAGGCCAAGCTGCAGCACGGGATCCTTCTCATCTTCTGTTCCCAGCACGCTGTCCCAGGCTGCCCGCCGTCCCAGGCTGTGCCGTGGTGGCAGAGACCTCATGTCAGCCAGTCTGGGTCCCTACTGTCCTGGGAGCCCAAGCCTTGACAGGGAAGACATCTGCTCTCCTGTCCACTCCCGCCTACACCCCCCTGTCCACACTCACTTGTCCCAGTTCACCTGTCCCTGCTCACCTGTCCACATTCAACTGTCCCTGCTCACCTGTCCACACTCACCTGTCCACACTCTCCTGTCCCTGCTCACCTGTCCATGCAGGCACACCACAGGCTGGCTGCCCTGCCCCGGCTGCTTCTTTCTGGCTCCTTGAAGGTGAAGGAACAGGCTGCACTCAGCTGGACAAACTAGGATCTCCTTTCTGCCTCCCCAGCCCTGCCCTCAGCATGCCCCTGGCCCTGCCCGTGTCTCAGGCACACTCACACCCATCCGGGTCACACCCATTGGAGGAGAATCATTTGGAGAACCAGAGTCCAGTCTCATCTGAATCGAATCTCCATCCCACCACCAATTTCAACCCTTGGCTGTCTCCAAGCTCACCCCTTGCTCCCCCTCCCCCCTCCTATCACGCTGGCCCCTCTGTGGTGGCTCGGGGACAGGACCACCCAATGGACTTGGGGCAGTGCTCCAGGGCTGGCTCGTGCTCTCGGGACTCGTCTCCCGTGAGGATCTCCCGTAACTGCTCCCTGGGGTGGGGTGACCCTCTCTGGACAGCCTCCTGACCCCGAGGCCCCCACACCCTCACGCTGCTGAACAGTGTTCTTGCAAGACGTGGATCTCCCCAGGTCAGGGGCCTGCGGTCAGCTGGGTGCACCGAGCCCACCAGAAAGCTGGCCCCACTTGAGACTGGCCTCTCAGCCTTGACTTGTCCTCACATCACCAAGGTGGCAG